CTACGGGTGATTTGATAGATTTAATGCCATCTAAGGTTGAGACGTGAGGATTACTAATGATGTAATGTGATTTTGGTGAGAGTTTGAGCTGCCAGCATTTTCCATGAATCATCCACTTTGCACTGATTTATTGACTTGTCTGAAACTGATTTTCTTCCTTGACTCAAAAGCTGTAATGGAAGACAGATGAAGCCCAATAAATAAGCAATTTACTTCAACAAAAGCTCAAAACACAGAACACATTGTGTTAAGCATTATTCTGCTACATCTCCATGGATGGATGAATAGATGGCTTTGGGCGTCTTCTGAAATGACAAACCTTTTTTCGTAAAGAAGTAGTTCAACATTTTGGGAAATCTGTTTTAAAAATGTATTTGCTTCAATGCTTTCTTGCCATCAGACTGTAACTAAAAGATGGACATCGCCACCTCAGCGTCAACCTTTGTGTTAATGAAGGCTTGAGCCGAGGGGTTTTTCTGTTTTTGCCATTTTTATGATTTGAAACTGTGCATGATGAATGAGGGGTGGGTCTGACTAAAAAACCAATGACATTGCACAATCATAGGTTAGCAACTTGTCAATTACAAAGTAAAGCAGCCTCTGGTTTGTTAATGAGGTCACCACTTACAAACTGGACCCAAAATTAATATGTGGAACTAGCGATCGAGGCCACGTGTTTAATCTGTAAACTCACAGATTAAAAGAGCGTAGAGCCATTTCCTTTAGACGTCTATACGGCGCCGTCTCGGATGGCAGCCTGTCTAGCATGCTCTCTACAGTTGAAAATTACTTTGAGCATGTACATGACAAAAGAGTTTCCCTCGGGATAAAGGAAGTTCTTATTCTTATACAGTTGTGAAACTGGAGTTGCTGCCCTCTGTTGGCCACTAAATGAATGATGTGTTAAGGCCCTTCACTGGCTTAATTTTGTTAGTGATTTAAAATGGTATTGATGAAACACGAAATGCACATTTCCCAAAATGTTCAACTCTCCCTTTAGTAGTGCATGCATTTTAAAATGGGGATGTAACGATTTTGAAATTGTGATTCAAAACAGAATTTAAAATCATATACCAATATTATTACTCTGCAAGTTTATTTTGTTCTTATTTATTTGCCCCTCTCTACAAAAGAAAGGAAAAAGAAGATAAGCAAATAAAACCCCACTAAGCTCTTTTAAGGTCTTTTTTTTTTTTTTTTTTTTAAAGCGATGACTCCTAAATGGCCTCTTATTTTCTGATGTTACTGATACTTGGCTTTTTTTACTGCTTAGTCTCTAATTTAAATAAAACGATATTTTACTCATGTTATTTTTAGATTGTTTTAACATTTTCAAACCTCAAGCATTGTTTACTGACATCATGTGGAAGCTGTTCAGTTGTTGTCATGTGGAGCGTTACAGTCCTGTTTAGAGTACTAATGCTAGTTGGTCTTTTTTTGTATCTGTGCTGGCCAAAACTATAGTTGCATCTAAATTCGGCTTCTAAAACTCTTCTGTATTACCCGGTGTGTTATAATAAATGAATGCAGAGCTACGTGTACGACCATATTGTGAAAAAACAAACCACCTTTGATAAGTTTTTATCAGTCACTTCATATCTGCTCTCTTTATTCACATATCCGCTTGTTTCTGAGTGAAACCGTCTGCAGACGTCTGCATGTCATAGTTGTTTTTAATCCATAATAACATCCAAAAGTGAAACGGAGCACTTCATTTTCATTTATTGCTACATGATTAGAGTTTAAGCATGATGGTGAGCACTCAAAGTCATACTGTTTAGTTTTTTAAACACCATAAAACAGCAAAATTATTTTTTTTTTTAATTAATTCTTACTATTAGGCGACATGTTTTATGAAAGGATTTAACAGAATTGCTTACCCTGATGTTTGACGCTAACATGTCAGCATGCACTGTTTGTGTGGTGTCCTCGGGATTCCCATATACTTGTTTGCTATTCACCTAGGGACCATTTTTGACCCGAGGACACCACAAGGGGTATTACTACAACCACTGGCGTATGCTAAAAACAATTAGCATGGAGCTAATTTTTTTTTGTGGATAAGCTGAGTGGTTGAAAAAAAAAAAACGTTGCACTCATCTTTTTTAAGAAGAAGAAATTTAAAAGAAAGTGAACAAATTTAGAAGAATTTGGATAAAGACATTTTTGGATGAAACTGGGGATTGATAAATAGGAGAGCTGACTGTTGTGGTTCCCTGTGGACCACATGTAAAATTTATTATAGAAACCAAATAAAACAACAGGATTTTATAACTTCTAGTGTGTAACTTTGTCTTATGTTTGTGCTTGCTTAGTAAATTATGTCAAGGGTTACACTTTTAGTTTTTTAGCACCACTTAAGAAAATAAGATGCATAAAGCTACTTTCAGCTTGCTCCCTGGCCACAAGGGGTCGCCACAGCAGGTCGCTTCACGATTTGTGTTTATTCAGTTATGTTGGCTTTTGTTGTTGTGGTGGTGTTTTTTTGTTTTTGTTTTTTTCAGGCTCTTCCCGATGCAGTAAATTTAAAATAATACTACAAAAATAATAATACAAAAAAATGGAGATAATTGAAAATACAGAAAAAAGAAGTAATTGAACCATTAGTGAATAATAAAGAGCAATTCATTGTCATCAGAGCCATCAATAGATAATGAAACGGCTGCAAACAGTACCAAGAGAATAGCATGTGTGGTGGTGCTGGTGTTGACAACCATTATCACGTTAATAAACACTAAAGCAAAGGTTATATGGTAAATGAATGAGAGCCCAGCTGCATTTGGTGTTCGTAAGGGTGCAGGGTGGGTTTTATTTTTATTTATTTATTTTTAATAAATAAAAAGTTTGTTGACAGGAAGGTAATCACAGAACAGTCACACGGAGGTCTTCAGCTTTAATCCCTGTGTTTGTATGTTTGGCTCACTGCAGCAGCCCTCCACTCCAGACTATTAATAGTCCCGTTAGCCCATTAGCAGCTTAGTCCTGCCGACTCCATTCTGTTGATTAGCAAGTACTTCAGGGTTTTTGTTTTTTTTGTTTGTTATTTTTTGTCTGTCCCTGGGAACAGACCTCACTGCTGTATGCTGACAGGTTGAAGGCCACAAAGGGGTCTCTGGGTCACATTGTGAACGAGATCAGGCTTAGATTCTGCATGAGTAATCAATGATAGTTTACCAGGTCAGAGCATGAAAGCATAAAAGTGATTGTAAAACAGTTAATTCATAGTTACAGTGACAAAAAGAACATACACAATGTCCCGCCTCAATGTGCAGATAGTATACAGTGAAATAAATACAGATTCAGACTGCTTCATACATTTATAGACTTTACTATTCTTAATTTTAGGCCAGTAGTCATCTTACTTCTGCTCTTTAACATGACTGCATTAATAAACTTCACGTCTTTAGTGTTTAATATTAATATTCACAACACATTACTTGATTTTTCTGATCACATTTTGCCCTCACATTAGTTAAAATTACTTGAGTGGTCCATAACATGATGTAGTTGTAGTAGTAATCAGTCATAGTCTGTTAAGTTTAAGCCCCAAAAAGAAATTCCTCAGTTGTAGTCACGTCCCTGCTTTGATGTCCAAGCTCCTGTATAAATGTGATATAATCTGAGGTTTTCTTGCACATTTGACGCAGATATTCAATAAATGCTTTCTCCTGAGGCTGAGGGTGCTGAGGGAAAACAGTAGATGGCGTTCTTGAGTCGGTTATCTAGTCTCTGACTGATATTTCTGTATTTATAGTTTAAATGTCCTGTCACCCGTTGTTTGTTTGGAGAGACGCTTGGCCAGTGATTCTGTTCAGCTTATTATTAGGATCTGGTTACTGACGGACTTTGTTTTTTTTTTTCTTCTTCTGCCTTCCTGCTTGAAGACTCAGTTGCACACCTCACATTTATATATTTAGTAGAGTGGAAAATGAACATTAAGTTAAGAACCAAACTAAAATTTTAACTTTATTAGAATTTCTTTTAAAATTTGAACCATTTTGGTACATTTGAGAAGAAAAAAAAAAAAAAAGTTCTTACTGAATTGAATGTCGTCAAGAAACATAAATCAGCCGTGGGGGGA